ATACATAAAATTTTGGAGGTTATATGACCATTTAATAAAGCCTTCGCCATGTTTTCTTCATAAAAAAGCATTATTTTACTTATCAATTTTTTCAAAGAAAAGATCTGCATAAAATTAGCCAATCATTTTTGTTTTGTTTTTTTTCTAAAAGATTTCTTGATTGTCTATCCTTACAGTATTTGGAAATTCCATATTTGGTAATAATCCTGACTGTATTGCTTAACACTTCATACACTAGTTGACTATTCTAATTATATATATCTAAATAAACTGTTCTTAGAATGTAAATAATGAAATTGTTTGTAAAAAAAAATATGTTTTACAATGGAACGTCGAAGAAGATTCCAAAAAACCAAAAAACGTATGTATCAGATGTATAATGTTAATTAATTTGCTATGCTTATTGAGAAGTTAACAAAACCTAATGTCTATTCAGGTATGGGACACGCAAGAATTCGATATTAGCAACATTTTTATGATCTACAAAATGGCAGCTGTTGATAAAGCAAAGAAACATACATTGTCATATATTAATACCGTAGGAGAAATACTGTAAGTTTACAGACATTCTGGTGTTAGTGTTGCCCTATTATTGTGAGGAAAGCTTATTTATCTATTTTTTTCAATTTGTAGTGCTCTGAGTTCCATCTTATTGATGGAGGAAAACTCATTTCGTGGAATGACCGGCTTGCCACAGGATATTTACCAGATAATGAGAAGGAAATTTGGAAAGAAAAGTTTACCAAAAGAAGTAATTGAATTGTGTCAACGTTGCGCTATAGTTGGTCGGGAAAATTCAAAAACTGATTTAGAGAATGAAATTGATGAGGCATATATTGTCATTAGAAAATCAGTATCATCTGAAAATCAAAAATTATATCGTACAGTACGACAGGTTTGGGAGAACATGTATGTGAATAACTTGGTTTTCTATTTTGTCACTAAATTTTAATAATGTAATTAACAATTGATATATTAATATGTGGACACACTTATTTAGTGTACAGAATTGGAGGACAAGTTTCAATGAGGGTATTTCAATTGAAGACACATTTGTACACCATTCCTTATATCCGCTCTTAAGACCTTTTTTTCCAGACACAGTTAATTGGGTAATAAACTGGTAAGTTTTTAGATGAAACACTATCAACTAATCAGTTTTTTGGATTGCATAATCTCAAAAATTTGAACTATTTTAATTCACTTTAGGGCAAATAAAGAATCTCTATCGAGTACATTTGGAAGCAAACCTGATTTCAATGTTGCAATAAGACTTTGTGATCATAACTACTTTGAGATCCTTTTTGGATTGTTTAAATCGCCAAAAAAAGCAAATACAAAATCTGCAAGCATTGATTTAGTTGATTTGGGAAATGTGATGAAAGATTCAATTGATTTCATTTATCATAACTACCACACTGATCTGGAGATCAGGACATATGGCCTTCATGGAGGAAAACTCATTTCGTGGAATGACCGGCTTGCCACAGGATATTTACCAGATAATGAGAAGGAAATTTGGAAAGAAAAGTTTACCAAAAGAAGTAATTGAATTGTGTCAACGTTGCGCTATAGTTGGTCGGGAAAATTCAAAAACTGATTTAGAGAATGAAATTGATGAGGCATATATTGTCATTAGAAAATCAGTATCATCTGAAAATCAAAAATTATATCGTACAGTACGACAGGTTTGGGAGAACATGTATGTGAATAACTTGGTTTTCTATTTTGTCACTAAATTTTAATAATGTAATTAACAATTGATATATTAATATGTGGACACACTTATTTAGTGTACAGAATTGGAGGACAAGTTTCAATGAGGGTATTTCAATTGAAGACACATTTGTACACCATTCCTTATATCCGCTCTTAAGACCTTTTTTTCCAGACACAGTTAATTGGGTAATAAACTGGTAAGTTTTTAGATGAAACACTATCAACTAATCAGTTTTTTGGATTGCATAATCTCAAAAATTTGAACTATTTTAATTCACTTTAGGGCAAATAAAGAATCTCTATCGAGTACATTTGGAAGCAAACCTGATTTCAATGTTGCAATAAGACTTTGTGATCATAACTACTTTGAGATCCTTTTTGGATTGTTTAAATCGCCAAAAAAAGCAAATACAAAATCTGCAAGCATTGATTTAGTTGATTTGGGAAATGTGATGAAAGATTCAATTGATTTCATTTATCATAACTACCACACTGATCTGGAGATCAGGACATATGGCCTTCATGTTTTTGGTGCGTGAATTTACTGCTTGATTATCTGCTTTCATAATTATATTTAATCATTCATTGCAAACTTCAACTACAGGTTACAATGCTAGAATATATGTGATGGGTTTAAATTTTGATGGTGTTTATCAGATGTATCTACTTGGTGAGTTTGAGCTTTCCAGGAGCCACTTGAGCTTCAGCTTAGTTGAAGGTGCAATATATCAAATAAGCAATCTATCAGTAAGTTTAGAAATGTTTCTACTGGATTGTATGTATCTTAGTATCATATTAATGATTTGGAAATATTTACCATTTTTTGATGACAGATGATTGTTGAAGAAGATATAAAGAGACTGAACTCATCTCCAATGACACCTATCACTACTAAATTGATGTCACCAACGATGAAGATGACAATGACTAGATCGACAGTTGGTAAACCAAAGAATGCAAGTCAAATTTGTTTATCTGTGTTATCCAGTCTAATAACACCTTTATTGCTTTTCTTTAAATTCATTTTCATTTTCATTTACTAGGTGGAAGTCAATGATGCATGATAGATTAAAATGCCGAAAAGATTATTTTATTTACAACTGCAATTATCATTAATTTATTGATTAATTCATTGGATTGATTTTTGACGATATAGATTATCATCAAATTGAACCAGATAATTTCTGATTAACATGATACTAGAAAAATGATCTTTAAAAAAAAATTTCAATAATGCAACCAATTTAATTATTTTTTCAATTAATATAATAATAGAATAAAAAATTTTATACAAAAGTTAACCTGTTAATTAAATAAAGCAATTAATAGACAATGAAAAATTTGTAATATAATTAATGAAAATCAAAAATAATAAGAAAATTGATTGAAGATAAAGGGTTGATTAACTTAAAATTTCTTTAATTGCCAATTCATCTGCTTCTAAATGCATAAGAATCGTCATGAAAATTTAATATTAACACATACCAATATGTAACTTTAAAAAAAAATATCATGTGAAAGAGAATAAAAAATATCAGAGGGTTTTATTAGACTAAAACATAATAAAATTTCAAAAAAAAATTTTTTTATAATTTCAAATTCATTGAGGCCAGGCTATGTTTGTGAGCCAGATATTACAGATGTAGCAGGAAAAGGTGAATTCAAAAAAGAAGTATTATTATTTCCCAAATAATAAATTTTGTCGTTGATTTCCAATTAAACTCTCATATTTAAACATATAGGAACACATGTTTGTTTTTCTCCTTCAGACATTTTTTGATTATTGAAAGTCCACTCGGTTTACAGTGAATAGGTCGCAATGAAGTGTAGGAACAAGTTATCAGCAGCAATAAGTTGAGGTTTATAAGTGAATTGTGAGGAAATTGAGATTTATGAAATTATTTAATTTATTAACCTTGCAATTTACTATTAAATGTAGATGAATATGATTTAGAATCATAAATGTTAATTTAAATTTTTTTGATCTCAGGCTTTTATTTTACAATTGCAATATCAACAAATGATTTTGATAATATTAATAAAGAATTTTTACCAAGAATTTCTTTGCAAAAATTCATTTGATCCCTTGGTAATACAAATGTTCACTTTTGTCTGGTTTTGTTGCAGCATGCCCCATATTTACTTTATTCTAATAAAATTATATGGGCAGGATACTGCCTTTATTAAAAAAAAAATAATAATAAATAACAGATCAAAATTAATAAGTACTAGGCTCTGGACAAAGAATATCTTTAAATGGATCTTCTACATGTTGACAAATTTTTGTATACAGATATCTTTTTCTATCATCTGTTAATGGAGCAGTCTCAAGAATATTTAATTGGCCATTCTTATTAAAATCATTATTCTTTAAAAGTTTAAAAGGAATTTTTGAATCACCAGATTTTTTAGAATCATAAACTTTTCCAATATCATCACCATTACTACTAAAATGAAAATGATGGTATTTTGTTATATTTGGCAAATTTCTAAAATTATCTTTGAATAATGTGTGAAAGTCATACCATCTCCAACCTACACCATTTTTATATCTAAGGGATTTATTATTATTTTCTATTGTTGAATCATTTATAGCCTCTTCAACATGATCAACAGTATTAATACATCTATTTCTATATACTTTTTTGATTGATCCAAAAAATCCATCACAAATAAATTTAGTATGTCCAGGGATCATAAAATTTATATAGATATTTTCATACCAACCCAACATTATTAACCATGACCAAAACCAGAGTGATAAGTTATTTTTATTTTGTCCTGAACAATTATCACATGTCACATATAGATCTTTTTCACCACCACCATGAATCTTTTGAAGAAAATCAAAAACCATATTCAAAGTTGTATTTGCCCCTTTGATATTCCTTCTGGTAATTCATCTTCCCCCATTGTATAATTTAGCTGAAAATTATCTCCATTATCTCTTTGAGTACATATACCAAAGATATTTATTTTAAAAGGAATTCTAAAATAAATTGAGCCAACTTGTTGAGGTGAATATGGTGCAGCAACACTTTGAGCCCAATCATAACAGATGTGAGTTAATGTTGGATTATTTTTACATTTTTTTCTAACATTATTATAATGTTGTCTTTCACAATCTGCAGCTGCAAGATGTTCATCAAACTTGAATTGCATGTCAATCTCTTCATCCTCCTCATTTAATGATTTAAATTTAAATAATTTTAATCTAAAAGTTTCACAATTTTCACATAGATCATTTGAAGAATTTAAAAACTTAATGTGTGGTGTTAATTGAGTCCAGAGTTTGTGAAAAGTTTTATACTTTATATTTAGTATAGATGTGTCAACAAGACTATCCATCAGGAAAATGCTTTTGAAATTATACATAGATCCTACATGTAAACAGCATATAAACACCATATCATGATTTGTAT